AGAATTTCACATATAATCTTTAAGGACTAGATGTTTTGAGCAGGAACATACAGATAATCTTTCTGTGTTAAGGAAATTTAAATTCAGTTCCTATTAGTTTCATTTCAAATCAATTTAAAAACTGAAGAAAATATCTGTACTAAAGTAAATCTCTGGAGAGTAAAGAGACAAACATGTTTATTGAGTACCTGATATACTCTCTTCAATGTTAACTCAGAAGTTACCTCCAAACTGTTCTCATATTATTGAATAGACACCAGAGTGCCTGGCACATTATAGGTGAAAAAAGACATGGTAGGCTGCCAGGCTTGAAAGAAAAAAACTCACAAAGGAATATTTACATGAAATGGTAAGTCTAACCTGTTTTATTTATGTAGATAAAGTATATGTTTAACTACATATAATCTTATTGATGTCAGGAAATAACAGTTCTCAATATCCATCTCTTCATTTCTGTTTTTCTCCCCCTCTCCTTTACACAACTAGACAGTGGAAAGAGCCAAGTAATGTGCACAGTAAAATTTCTAGTGCAATTAAAAGTATTACTGTTCAGCAATGTACTGTGATATTCAAAGAGCTGTGAGTGTTCTCTCTACCCACGACCTAAGTTCTCTCTCCTTCTGTGGGATGTGATCGCAGCTTCCAGCAGTTCTCAGATTCTTCCATTAATAGAGCCAATCTAGAGTATATTCCATCAGCACACTCTTTTATAAAGAAAAGGCCAGTATCATCTAATATATGTGAAAATAATGTAGGAAGATGTATGGTATTATTCAGTGTCCTTTTCCAAGTACATATGACTTTTTTCTATTGAAGAAAAGCAATTATATTTACCTTTATTCTTAAATTTAATAAAGATAATTATCTAGCACAGAACCTAAACTCCCAACTCTAGCTCTCTTTTTATCTTTCCCTCTTATTGATTAATGACATTTGGTTCCATTTCTCCACCTGTAAAATGCAGACATAACTTGTTGCTTTCTCTTATTAGCATACCATAGCTGAAGGTACTATATAAACAATTGGTACAGAAAAGCATTCAAAACAAACATATATATACATACATGCAATTATATTCCCATTTAAAATCTTTTGGTCATTAATTCCACAAATGGTTAAGTTCTATTTAGAGTAGAGGTATAAATAACAACAGTACCTTGGGGGTTACAAAATGCTCTCTTAAGATTTGCTCTCAGTGAAACATACTAAAAGCTAGGTTGATTTAGTTTAAGCAATGTTTTTTTCAAAGTATCAGCATTAACTACATTAGCATGGGTGTTTGTTTAAAATGAATGTGCCTGAGTCCCAACTCAGACCTAATTAAAGAGGCTCTCTGGAGGTGGTGGCCTGGCAATCTGCACTTTTCATAACCAGGTGATTCTGAAGCATATGAAAGTTCAATCACATAAGAAACCTAAGACTTAAGAAAGACCATAACATATATGGGACTTCAAGAATAAAATCCTAAATTTGAAAACAGATTCTAACATTTACTAGCTGCATAATCTTTAGTCTCTCAGAGTTTAAGGTAACTTTCGAGCTTCTATAATGGAGGCAATATGGACATCCCATAGCTAGACACCTGCCTCACAAAGCCATGGCAAAGATTAAATAAAGTCTTAAATAGGAAAATGCATTGTAACTTTTGTGATATAAAGTGTTACTAACTATAACCACCACTACACAGCATTCTAGTATACTGATTAATCTTATAAAACTTTTCAGCTGAAAAAATTAGAACTAGACACAGAATATGCTCACTCTAAATAAACACAGTTCAAGAGCTGTCTCTACAACAAAGTTTTATTTTTCTACTTTCCACTATATATTTGGAAAGAAAACTTAACAAAACTGACGGGGGGCTCTTGCCTCTATGGTGCTTTCTTTCCTTCTCCCTCAAACACGGATCACTGTGTGGGACACTACAACTCCATCTCTCACTATCACTGCCCTCCTTTGCCCCAATTCTAAAGAGAAAGAGACTAAACTACCCTTAAGCTCTGAGAAAACAATAGTAAATTGAGAGTTTTTAAATTAATCTTTTAAATACTCCCTTTTCCAGGTAAAGAAATAATACTAAAACCTCCTAGACCTCAATTATCTCTAAGATTTAACAAAAGAATTCCTGAAGTCATTTGCTGGCTTCAAAGTGTCTGACCAATCAGAAAGAAACAGGCTGGGAAGAAGTCATGCTGACTGAGTGTCAGCCTGACACTGACAGGGAGTGTTCAGAAAGGAACCGAGTAGGAAAGACTCACAATGACATAATGTTGGTAAAACCACTGAAGTATACATCATAAAAACCTCAACAGTAAAAAATTCTAAAAACCAGGCTTATGATCAACATTATAATTATGCTCTTTAATCTTTCTGATATTCATTTATAATAGGTCTCCTTTATACAATCACTACTTATACATTTTGCACAATCTTTTAAAAATCATTATTCATAATCTTTTTTTTTTCTAATTTTAATTTTTTTAAAAAGGCTAGTCAAGTGAAGCAGTGGGACTGGAGAAAGAACAAAGGAATCCATAACTGGTTGTGATCAATTAGTTAAAATACCACTGTACTTGGACTGGCCTATTTTTTATAATGTTAATAAAATTATTTGATGGTTCCCTCAACTGAATGACACAGCCTATATTTTGCTTTATGATATAAATATCTCTATATAAATATTTCTGGGTTCATGTAATTTTTGTATTTAAACTCATATAATCAAGTTATAGGAAATCATCTTTTATGTCAGGGAAATTATACTACCAATTAAATCTCTATAGTCAAGAAGTTATAAGGTGCTAAGATTTTCATTTTAAAATATTCCAGCATTTTAAGGCTCTTCAGTAACTAAATGAAGTAAAACTAAGAGAAGACATTAAATGACTGCTTTATTTCCATTATAAGAAATACATAAAAAATACAGATCTGTATCTGTGAGCAAATTACATTATATTACATTACATTATATTAAGGGAATGCAATTACATTATATTAAGGGAAGAAGAGCTAGTTATAAGACACTTTGAAGAATTATTTGTATAAAGATAACTATTTACATAGAGTGATGATTACATGTGTAAGAAAAAACTCTGGAAAGCTATATTCTAAAACGTTAATAGTGGTTTATCACAAGTGGTGAGATAAACAATCTTTTTCTTTATATTTTTCTATGTTATCTTAGTTTATTTATAATTAGATGTATTATACTTTTATTGAAACAAGCAATAAGCAGGCCCATGTCAAGAGGAGCAAAAAGTAAAAGCTAAATCGTCAACCAAGAAATGAAGCTGCTATTCTCTTTATACACATATTCTTCATGTAATTATGTAACCACTATTTAGAAGCAAGATTACAAGTAAGCAAAATGAGATCTTTGTATTTCCAGTTGACATATTTTATTTTCTTTAATCCTTGTGGAACATTTCTTTCATTTAAAGCATTTACTTGCATTTAAAGCATTTCTTTACATACACATAAACCAATCATTTCTTACATTTTTTCTATACATAGGTACATGTACATATACATACCTGGGAGCATTTAGACGACCTTCTACACTATTAGAGGTTGGTCCTTAAGAACTTTGATACACTTTCATCTAAGGAAAAAAGAAAACAGCAAATGTAAAACATCCATTTTTTCATATAACATTCATTTCAAAATATGTAAAATAAACTTAAATAAAATAAATTAAGTAAAATAAACTTAATATCACGATCACAATTACGGAACTCAAGAGATTGTATACAATGTCAAATTAATTATTCTTAGAGCAGAAAAAAGAAACCTACCTAAGTGTTAGCATTTTCAGTTTGTCAATGAAAGACTTTTGAGAACCAAGTCAGTCAAACTAAAGATACTACCCACACTAATGAAAAACAAAGGTTTCCTAAGGAGAAAACTTCCTGGAAAAGGTGCTAAGTAGTAATTGAAAGGACAGTGGATATGTTAGCAAGGAAAAGAGGAACTTTCCAGGTAGAAGAACCTTATGGTGAAAATAATGAAGTGTCACATACTGAAGACAGACAGAAATTTCTGCAGGGTTGAAATGAGAATTAGAGGGAGCATGAAGGCCAGGATGACTGTGTGAACTGATATGCCAGCAGCAGGGACTGCTACATAATAAGGTGTATTTAAGGAAGATTAGCCTGGTTATTGTGAAAAAGTGAAATATAGCAGAAAGAACACAGCCTGTGGAAGCCAGAGAAATGTGGGTTCAACTCGCCATTTAACCATTCAAGAGTGATTCCTAAACTACAGTTGTTCTGTCAGTAAAAGAGAGAACACCAACATCCTAAGGAGTATTTTCATAATCACAAGGAAGAACAAATATAAAATTTCTGGGACATGGTTATCACACAATATATGTTAACTTGTTTCTCTTTACACATGATAGATATGCATGAAGGCCAGCAATCAGTAATCAAGATCTGAAATGCTAAGAGCTTGAACTAGCTATGAAAGGGTGGAAGACAATTCCCACCAAACACTGATGAACTGGATATGAGAGGGTGAGCAGAGAAACCACAAAATAGAGATACCAGAGAAATACTTAATTTCTAATGCAAACTTTTATAGAGACAAGCAGAATCTTGTTTATAGTCACAAATTATTACGATTGGGTAGGGAGGGAAAATATGTGACGTCTTTTGACTTTTTTTATTGGATCACCACTACTACCTTTTATATGCATTTTGAAATGAACCTTTTGTTTGAAATGGTCTGTGGCCAAAGGAATTAAAGGATGTGATTATAAAAGTTCTTATATCTAATTATCTATTTAATATTGCCAAATGTGTAAAGGATCCTACAAGGGGATACTCTAAAGACAATACAGTCACCCTTCAATCATTCCCCCTGTATACACGCCACAAGTAGTACAACAAGAGAATATAGGAGATGAAATTCAACACTATCACACAAACTATAAATTTGAGTTCTGCAAGAGTCTAGCATCTACTAGCCATTTAAATAAAATAAAACCTTATGGTTTCCATGTAAGGAAATTGTTTGAAAATATATAAAATAATATGTAACTTACATCAATTTTGGAAGTTTTGGCAAATGCTCCCACTGGATGTACGTGGTCATAAAGTATTATGACGCCCACCATTACCCTCAAGCAGAATGACACTGTCTCTTCATTTGTAAATCTGCTTCTGTATTCCCTGGAAGGTAGAAAAGATATGGAGGGAAGAGGCTCATCACAAAACACTGTATTAAGTTGATTCAACTTTCACTCGATGCCGACTTACCCCTTTCCTTTGCTCTCTAAAAGGGATGTTAACCTTACATCCTCTTCTCCACAATGAGATCCCCAGAGAGAGAAGGTGGTGAGTGGAGCAGTCATCACCCACACATTCTGGTCTCTGTATGTACCCACCTTAGTATACTATCCCTTCTGCTTGATAGAGAACAACAGTTTTACAGAATCAAAAGTAGTACCGAAGTAAAAGTCTGGGGACAGGTGCTATGTAAAGGCTGATACCATCAATATGATGAAAAAAGTCCTAAGCTTAACAGAGCACGTGGGTTCAATATTCAGGGGCTAACTTGATCTAAACACATTATCGTATAGCTGGATTTGAGTCTCACTAAAATTCAATCATATTCTTCTCTCATTTGGGAAAAAGAAAATAGAACTTTTATCTATGTCCAAGGAAGTGTGGCACAGCAGAGCAAGTACAGAACCAGGATAGAGACATCTGGGCGCATTGGTAGGGCCAGTCCCTGTGTATAAGTCCCTTCATTTCCCAGGACCTCGCTCCCTTAAGCGAGGAGGAGGATTATGATGACAGTTACCTTCCTATTTCATAAGGTTTTCCAGTAAGAGTATGTATATAATAGTGAGTTGGAAAATAAAAAGTACTAGGAAAACAAAAAGTTATCTAGCAAAAACCATATATAGTCATGCATCACTTAATGAGAGGGACAGTTCTGAAAAACATGTCCTTAGGGGATTTTGTTATTGTGTGAACATCACAGAATGTATTTATACAAGCCTAAAAGGTACAGCCTACTACTCACCTAGGCTATATGGTATATATAGCCCACTGATCCTAGGCAACAAACCTGTGCGTATGGCATGTTACTCTCTGAATCCCATAGGCAATTGTAATATGAGGCTAAGTATTCGTGTATCTAACCATAGAAAAGATAACGTAAAAATATAATAGAAAAGATTTAAAATGGTATACCTGTATAGGGCACTTAACATGAATGGAGCTTGCAGGACTAGAAGTTGCTCCAGGTGAACGTGAGTGAGGGGTATGAGTGAACGTGAAGGCCTAGAACGGACATTAATTGTACACTACAATTTTATAAACACTGTACACTTAGGCTAAACTAAACTGACAAAAAAATGTTTTTCCATAACAAATTAACCTTAGCTTATTGTAACTGTTTTACTTTATAAACTTTTGAATTTTTAAAAATGTTTACCTTTTTTATAATTTGACATATTTGGTTTGTGCTACAACCTAATGACAACTACAACATTACTAGGAGATAGGAATTTTTCAGCTCTATTATAATCTTATGGGACCACCATCCTATATGTGGTCCATCGTTGACCTAAATGTCATTATGTGGCACATGACTATATTATTCAAGAATCCAGGACGGATTCCTTCTGCCTGCTGATAGGAAAATTCATCCAGAACACATTGTATTATACATCATAAATGCTTTAGAGAGAAGAAAAATTCAGAAGGGAATTCAGGTTTGTGTAGAAAAAATAGAGACTGAGAACTAATATTGAGATATTAATAAAAATGGATACATGGAAGAGTAACTCTAGCCCTGTGGCAAAAAGGCAAGATTCTTCAATAAAAATGGAGAAAGAATCTTTATGAGAAGCATAACTGAGGAGCTTCAAAGCTCTTCCCCTATTCCTGCCTCCCCTCCCCCAAATACCACAACATTTATGTTCTGAAGAGTCTAAGTTAGTCAGACTGGTCTTAAGACCAACTCTCCTTTATATTTAACCTGAAGTTACATTAAGGTGCCAAATTATTTTAATTTTGTTCACATAAAAATAATTAATATTTGGTGTATACTTAATTTCCACCTTCCAAGTAAGACATATTTGGACATGTTTTAAAATACCAATCATCTCAACAGTACTGTTAAAAGTGAAAAGGATTAGCTAATACTCACGGTGTTTCAAGCATAACTCTGCATACACTAGCCATGGTGCTTAAACAATCTGTAGTATTTTCTATTGGTAAATTTTTATTCTGTAGAAGTGGATAGAGAACCAAAAAAAGTAAGTGACAAAGTTACTACTTAAATATAATTTAAAATTTACCATAACATAACAAATTAGCAACTTTAAAACCTGGTTCCTACTCCCAATTTTCTAAATAATTCACTAGATTTTAAGCACCATTTCCTTGCTCTTCCAAGAGGCACTTACATTCTAGCTTCGTGAGAACAAGTGGATCATATAGACAGGGGTCAGAGGTGTACAGCCTTGTTAAGGCCGTGAGGTATTTGGACTAGGAAATCACTGGGGACATTTTAAGCAGAGGAGCGAGAGAATGCTTATATTTTAAGAAGATTATATGGTTGCTCTATGGAGAAAGGACAATAGTGGCACAAGAGTGAAGGAAGTAAGAATGGTTGGAACATGGAATTCAGTAACCCAGATGAGAGGGTCTGATCTGGATAGGTAGTGAAAGAAGGGGTTAAAGTTTTCAGATTCATGATATATAGTATTTTGGAGGGAGAGCCAATAAGACTGCTTAGAGTAAACGTAGAGTGTGAGATAAAGAATGGAATTTAGAACACCAGCCCCTAGTTTTCTGCTTGCACAGTGGTACTATTAATTGAGAAAGCAAAGACTAAAGAAAGGTCAGGGTTAGGAAAGCTAACCAAGACTTTGGTTTGGCCATGCTATCACTGACGTATACCTCCGAGAGTTCGTCAGCTTCAGGATGGTATTTAAAGGACTTGCTAAAATCATCATGTCTGCAACAGACAGAAGAGAAACAATGCAAAGAATAACTTCCTAGACAATGCTTACCTCTGATACAAATTTTGTTGTAGCATCACTCAAGGTTTTCAGCATTGGAGTTGCCTCAGCATAAAACAAAGACATTCGATTTGCCAATTCATTATTTACTTCATTTTCTCCTTCTGCCTGTGTTGGAAAGTAAGAGCACTTTTCATATTAGTTCATAAATTATTAAATATGATAACATTTATACAAAGACCAAGGCAGGGTGCCTATTTCATTAATGCTTGTTAAATTAATCTAATATACACTCTTAACAAATTACATTTTAGACCCTCATGTACACATAATACTTAATGCTATTAAGTAATTTTTTAAAAGATTAACCTCTTTAAAAATATTTTAAGTGATATTAAGGAATTCAGTAAAACCTTGATATACAAGAGATTATTATAAATGCTATGAAGGACAGAAAGATGATCATCAAATTGCATCCTATCCTTGGAAACAAATAAGTATCCATACAACATCCACAATAAAATGCTAACAGATGATGACAGAATAATGGCATGAAAAAAGATTAAGTTAGACTAGAAGAAACTAAGAAGGACTCATAGAAGAATTAGATTCTACAGGTGATGTTGGGCATATGAACAAGGTATTCCAACTTGGCAGGGGGAAAGAGCATGTTTTCATATGACTCAGTAGAGTGTAATTCAGCATATTTAGCGTATAAATGGGCAGCAAGTAGCAAAAGTTAAGGTTGGGGTCAGATTATAGATTGCCTGAAATACCAGCTTAAGTTCATTTTTTTGTTCCATATGGAATGGGAAGCCACTAGAGTGCTAGAAGAAATGAATGATGATAAAGTCAATTTTCTAAAGAAAACTGATAATAGTGGGCAGACTGTACCAAAAAAGAAAAAGACAGCAGGTCAGGAAATGAGTTATGCTGCTATAGAATAACTGCCAAAAAGAGAGGAGGAATTAGGTTCTCAGTTGGGACAGAAGTAGTAGGAGATAAAAAGGCGGGTGGAGAAGAGATTCAAGAAATATTTCACTTGAAAACAATTGGCTTTACCTGTAATTACTGAGGATGAAAGACAGCACAAAGCTGACTTTAATGCACCAAAGATGACTTTGGCTTTGAGTGACGATAGGGATTGCTATAGTAGAGGACTGATTGATTGTATTGTACTGTACTGTAATTTATTTGATGGGTATGAAAAAGATAGATGTTAAGGTCAGTTTCACACCAGGAATTGATCTATGCACAGCCAAAGTGATACAAATAACAGATGTTTCATGAAAAGAAATCTTTTCCTCTGACTCAGTGCCTGTCCTACAGCAACCACTTCATAAAATATTTATTTAATGATAACAGTGAATGGTCTCCTCTGGTATTTTTATTTTAAATCTCTTACGCCACTTACCACTTCTTACGCAGTCACAGTATTTCTCTAATAAACTAAGTGAGGCTGGGGTTGATTTTGAAATTTCTCTCTTTTTCACACCAATTAGCATAATGTAGGTTCTCAAAATACAGAGAACAAGATAATATTTTTTTTCTATATAAGGTTTTACTTATGGTATTTAACCCCTTGGAGGCAGAAAAGTGTAATAAACCACTTAATTGGAGGATGGCAAGAGGTTAACAGAACTAAAGAAACCACAGGAGGGGCTATCTTAGCCAAGGAACAGGCACAGAAGCCATTTTCTCTAGCAGCTCTCTTGGGCACAAAGTGCTAATGGTCCATGGCCTTACTCTCTCCTGTTGCCAACATTAGGTATTTCTCTTAACGCAGGTCAAGTGCTCTCCAAAATTCTTTCATTCTAAGAATATGGGGACAAAAACTTGTAACCATTAATTCACAAAATTTTTGTATAGTTAAAAATGAGAATACATAGAGAAATTTTATAAGCATCAATGTTACAGAGACAAGCGATTTTACTGAAGTAGTCGTGGGAATTTAGAGATGGAGAGGAACAACAGGTAAACACCATGTGGTTTGCTACAGTTCGCTCTTTCCTCCCACAGCTGTGGCTGCTCATAATTACTAACTTTATTACTAGCTTTGGCATTATCTTAATGAACAAATTAAAGAATAAAATCAACAGACTGAGAGCAGAGTTATTCTTCTTACCCCCCTAACTCAAAGCATTAACTTACTGGTACATTATTAATCCTCATACGACTCAATGTTCTTCTATAATAGCTGAAATCATTCTGTATGGCAGGATTTGTCATCTAAAAAAGACATTTATGAAAGAAAAATGTGTTATGTACTAAATGCTAATGTAAAAATTAAGTGAAAAATCTACCAAATACAGTTTGAACTAGTATAAAACTTTCCCTAATTTGTAGTATCATTTTAAGAACTAAAACTAGGGTCATTCAAGTTGGCTTACAACAAACACGTATTCCTTACTGAACATATAAAACTACATATTCTTTTAGAGTATACTTTTCTTTTTCTTTTCAATAATTTCAAGATAATATATTAAAAGCTCATTTACCAAAAAATGATATTACTAAATAAACACAAATTTAAAAGAATGTATAAGCATTTGTTTTGAATTATTACAATAAAAGTATGTGCATATGGTCAATAGAGTAATCCTCACACAGACTAAAATTTTACATACAAATCATTAGTGCTCAAAGTATTAAGAAGAGAATTAATAGCTGTCTATGACACAATCATAAAATGTTGAAGTTAGGAATGCACCTCTTTCATCTGAGGCCCTGAAAAGTCAAAAGACCTGCCCAAGGTCTCATTAATTGGTTCCTGTGGCAGAACCTAAACCGGAGGAACTCAGGTCTCCTGATAAGAAATCTAGTGCTTATTCCTTTACACTCACTCCTTAACAACAGGATATTCGTAATTATAAAGACTATATAAAGAGAAAGGAAGAAAGAGAGAAAAGAAGAAAGGAAGGAGGAGAAAGGAAAAGGGAGGGGGGAAAAAGAAAAATTTTTTAAATTTTTTATGTAAAAGAATGTTGAAAAAATGAGCAAGAGCAGAAAAGAAAAAAATATTAGAAAAGAAACTAAAAACTGTTTTCAGAGATGATTTTATAAAACAAATTTAAAAGAAGACTGAATATTGGATGATTTACTATTTGCTATATATAATACATAAAAAGACCTGCCATAATTTTTAAATTGAGTTTTCTTCTTTTAGTAAGGTCCAGGGGACATCACTTAAATACATTTTATCAAGGTTTCCAGGCTCTTTCTCCTAGTACTCATTGAAAGACTCATGATTTTCATTAACAATCAGGGCCAACAAAAAATTCTACCTTGAGTTCATCAAACCGGAGTGTGAAATGAAGAATTTCTGCGAACTGTTTAGCAAGAGCCTGCTCTCGCTCTAGATGCTGGGTAGGAGAAAATGGGGTACTCGTCAAAGCTCCCAGAAGACCTCTTAACGCTGCTTCTAAAGAAAAAGATAAAAAGTGAACAACTCATAAGTGTTATAATTTTAATTCCCAGAAAAGGTCTTTTTAAAAAACAGATGCTAAATATAATCCAAATAAAGAAGTTTAAAGTTTGCCATTGCTAATGTATGGCATACACTCAAACAATACTATTTAATAGAATAAAAACTTCAAAGGGACTAATTCAAGGGTTTATAATTCTATAAACCCAGATTCAAACTAAAGCAGAATGTAAATCTGAATTAAACACCTAAATCAAAGCACAAATTTTATTTACTTTTATCATTCCACACAGGGTAGAATGTGCTTTTATGAAATGGTAATTGTTACGTACAACTGAGTAACTTCTTCAATGAAACTGTGTCCACACAGTCAAATCTGTACATGACTATGAATGAATTACTAACTTCTCATACTTTGAATGTGCCATTTCTTTTGGTTACTAAACAAAATTTTGGTTTAGTAAGTGTCTCAAGTGTCTTAGAGCTTGGCATCTCAGCACTGTAATATAAATATTCTCATTCACTACATGAACAAAATTGTCCCTCTGAAATAAGTGCTACTTTTGGAATGCCAGATTAACAAACACAGTGTTTAAAAATAAAAATATTTTGAAAATTACCTATTGGGTACAATGTACACTATCTAGGTGACAGGTAGACTAAAAGCCCTGGACTTTGCCACCATACAATTCATCCATCTAACAAAAAACACTTGTACCCTCTAAAACTATTAAAATAAATTATTTTTAAAAATATAAATACTGATATTTCAGCTCAAAAAAATTGCAGAAATCAAACTAATTCAGTTACAGATTATAAAGTTGGAAAACAATGCTAATCAGAGATTCTAATCAGAAAAAACAAGAGCTTACAAAGTTAAAAGGTGATCTGACATAACCAAATTGTCATATTAATAAACAAATATTTATTAATAAATTAGTCAGATCATCAACTGTTAACATAAAAAAAAACAACTCAACTAATTATGAAGACCTAAATATGAGCCAACATCTGTACTACACATGTAATGTAGTCTCTCATTTTAACTTTCACAATCAACTATGATAGGAGTATTACAGATAGATAAAGTGAGTTTCAATGAGGTTAGAGCCCAATGTTATAGCTAGTAAATGCCAGGTGTTTCTGACTCCAAAGCTCTATTCTTTCAACCATAATAAATGGTCTCTCAAATAAAGCAACATTCTACTCAGCATTCTGTAACCTTATAAAACATTAATCTACTGATTATTACCAGGAGTACCAATTACTTCTGTAGCCTTATAAAATATTAATCTACTCATTATAAATAATAGTAGGTATTTCTTATGTGTCTGTTATGTGCCAGGTACGCAGCTAGACATTACTACAAATGATAGCTATTATCTTTTGTCTTGTTCCTCAGTAAGTCAGAAAAACATACTGATTGTCTACTCTGTGCCAGACACTGGGAAAACAGATAAAGACAGACATGCTCCCTATGCCTTATTATATAGAGAAAAGAAAGATGAATGGTTACTACTGTGATATCTGCTGAAAAGGTATACATGGTACAGTGGAAAGGTATACAAATAGGTCCTCTACTAACCGAAGGCTAAGGAAAGACTTCCCTGAATAAGTGACTTCTGGACTGAGACTGGAGTATTCATCAGTGATGAGCAGGAGTTTACAGATAGAAAGGGAGAGAGTCAGACCCTGAGCTGAGAAGAGCATGACATAGTCAAAGAACTGCAAGACGATCAATACAAGTAGAATAGAGAGGGCAAGGAGGAGAGTAACCGAACACTAAGACAAATCAGACACAATCTGTATAACACATTAGGCACTCTGGCCTTACCATCCTAATGTCCTGGAGAAACCATTTAAACAGAATAGTGACATCATCAAATTAGCAGTTTAAAACCCCACTTCATCTGCAGTGCAGAGAATGGATTGCAGGGGTATAGATGGCTTAGACAGGTGTAAAAGTGGGTATGAAAAAGGATCAATTAAGAGGAAAATATTATTCATTATTTTGAAAAAATGATTTACTTCTTCCAAGATTCATTCCATGTGTTGGTGTTAATGTAAGTAGAAATCAAAGTTTAAGAGACATTGAAAACCATTATTATAAAATACTATTGTAGACTGCTAAAGAAAAAAAAGACATTTGTACTTGGCTAGATTTTATCAAGTCTCAGGGTTACTTTCAGCATTCCAAGTGCTCTACCACTTTGGGGAATGGAGTCTGGTCACTTGGCTGTTGGGATGGCCAGTGCCCAGTAGCTGCAGAATTTCTGTCCATGAATGGCTAAAGCTCTCAAAGGTAGATCTATCATGAAAGAGAAACTAAAGATGACAAGGCTGTTAATCTGCCTTTGAAGCAGCTAGATCAGCCTCTCACACGGTAGGCCTATGCTGGCACAGTCTCACCAGCCTACAATTCCTCAAGAGAAAAAATAGAGACAATGAATTTCACACAATGTGACCCAGGTTTCTGGATGAGTTAGGAAGAAAGAGAGGTGAAAGAAGAGATGGCCTGGGGATTCAACTCTAATGAAGCTCTTAAAACAAAAGAATGTAGTCATGATTTTTTAAAAAGTAGATTGATGAGGAGGAAATTAATGGGCTACTAAAATCTAAATTTTGGAAGAAATAAAGGGCAGCTGGTAGACCAGTGTAGGAGCCAAAGCTATCTAAGAAGGTTGCAAGAAAAAGACAACTGGGAGAAATAATAAAGATGACAAATTAGTCCACAAGTTAGAACAGGAAAAGGGGGGAACAACTAGATGATCAGGAACCACAGGCCCCTGCAGGGACTTGCCCTTTAAAGACAACAAGCCATTTATTCTCACCAACTGCCACCTATGTACTCTTAAACGCCAGCCCTTGAATTCTCTGAAGAGAACCCAAGGATGTGAACTATGGAGGATTTAAGACAGCCGACAGACATGAGCACAATAATTATGTTCACTTTTGGATCTTTTAAATAGATTTTGATAGATTCAGCCCAATGAAAAGACACCAATATGTTGGAAAGAGTTATTCATTATGACCCTTGGAGACAGTTCCTAAAGTTAGCTCCTAGAGCATGAGGAAGACTGAGGCATGACAAAGTAGTCTGTGTACTGTCTGAGCACAGCTTTAGTTTCATCTTTAGTTTCTCTCTCAGGCAGCTGCCTCAACAGGAAAGGGTCCATGGCCTCAGACCAAAACAGACAAGCACAGCAAGTTTCCCAGGCCAGCATGGTTAAACTCTGTCAGCAAAACTGAGTACTTTCCAAATTAGTCAGGTGATCCCTGCTCTGTCCCTCTGTAAATATGAAAACTGGCAAGGGACCAGAGTTCCTCCTCTGGATTATGATCCATGGTAAATCTACAGCACTCAGGCCACATAATTTTCTCCTTGAAATTGCAAAACCCTTGAAGGACCATGCGCACTTGATAGTTGTGTGGTACTCCCTGTGCTATTTGTGGTATTTGTCCTCACCTCTGGTTCAAGAGTTAAGGTAAGAAGAGAAGAAACAAGAGAGGTTTAGTGGATATAATGTAGGGAATTCATCAGACTGGAGGTTCTGACAGGTTGTCAAAACTCAAAGTTAAGTGATATCATCGACACCACACAGCTATTAAGTGGCAAACACCAGGATTCAAGCATAGGCCACATGTCACCAAAGCCTAAAATCCATTATTACTGCTGCTTCTAAATATCCAATACATATTTAAGATATGTCACCCATTCATTAAACAAACATTCAGTGAGTCCTATCATATGCAAGCAAGGATATGCCAGGAACTAGAAACGTATTAACCAGGTTCGTGGACAAGAGATGAGGGGTAACACATCAGATGTTAAATCTGTACTTTGCTTACAACTTTACAGAAGACCCTAGAGTATAATTATGAAGGTTCAAAGCTCCCAAGTGACCGCATGAAAATTGACAGCTTTTTGCTATTATCTATGTTATTATATCTCTCTGCCAAAATGGAATAGCACCCATGATGGGACACACCATTAGACTGATTAATTCCAGTAGTTAAAATATAAGATGTTTAAGTCCAACTGGTATTTTAGAATTGAGGTATTTGAGAATTATTGAGGTATTTTAGAATTATTCTTTTTTCACCAACATATGCTAAGAGACCAAGATGAGCTTGAATAGGACCTGAGTACCTTCTAAAGCAATTTAACTTCAAATGCAGCTAGAAACTGGCAGCCTAAGAAAAACTCTAAATAAATAGTAGTCAAGATAAGCAAGATTAAAAGACCAAGGCTAAGGTTACAGAAGGTTACCAAGCGACAGACTATATAGGTACTTGATTGAAAGGCAAATACTGTAAAAGAACTAATTTTATGATTGGGAAAATAAATGACAATTCTTGTTTCTAGTAAGAAAAAGATAATTTATACAAACACTTCTAACCCAACTATTGCCTGTCTTTACATTTAACAGTCTGTATTACATCAAGAAAAAAATGGCAATTTGCCTACTTTTTAAAATACAAGCATTTTTTTAAAAAAATGGAACTTTAACTTTAAAGCATAGGTTGCAAACACGAATGGTCAAGTAGAAAATATAAAGAAATAAAGAGAGCAAGATTTAAAAAAGAAATATGCAACAAACAGTAAGGACCTACTACAAACTAGAACACACATGCCCTAACTAATAGAGACAGAGATGGTTTGCCAAGTATTAATTGCTCTGGCCCACTGATAACACAGATCAATCAATTAATGCCTAAGCTAGTGACAATTCCAAAGCAGATTCAGACTTATATTATGTGGGCCAAACAAATCACATCTCGGGTTTAAATTTAGCTTTGGCGCCCGAAGTCTGACTTCAGTCTTACAGTATGGCTTTCTTATTAGATGTGATATATTCATTTAGAATATGTAACACCTTTAAACAATTCAAAAATTGAAACATGTTAAGAACTTAATAAAATTTAAATGGTTCAAATTTCTGACACAAATCTATACTGCTCCTCCCCTGTGCCCACCAACTGCAAGTAAAGTCCTTTAAATTTACAACTTTCAAAACACAAAAGGAGCTAACTGGCTAAATCTTACCTGCTCTGCCTCTTCATCCTACAAGAAAGGGAATTCCAATTTTGCTTACGTGTTGTACTAAAGACATAATTCCAACCTTTGAATAATTTTTCCCATACAAAGGAAAAAGCAAACTGTTTTGAATTCTTTTTGCTTTAATAACTCCCTAGATAACTTTGGATATATCATTAGCTTCCTATTTCTTACCTACAGTTTTAGATGAACTGAGCATAATTAGCAATGATTTTAAAAACACAAAATTTAAATAACCCAAGGGCCTGAGGATTAGTTCCAAATATGGGAAAGGATTTACTGCAGAGGTGGAGAGAAATTCTATCAAAAGATTTCTTACATTAGGACCCTTTAGCATGCAAAGAAATCAAAGAGATTTCCTAGTGGAAATTATAATTTTTGGAGAAAACTGGTATAAATAAATCAAAAGCCTGGGTTAACAGGAATGATAAGATCATTCTGTAATCTTAGAATCTAAAAAGTTTGCTTTACTTATATAACAGATATTCAGCCAAATTCAGCACTGTGAACAGAAAATACTCTAAATATTTTCTGACACTAATAAACGTCTTTTTCACTAAGGAAGTGATAATTACAAAACTTTCAACTTACCTAACCTCTGAGAAAATTCGTAAAATTTCTTTAATTTGCCTACTAGTGGAACAACTGCACCCCATGCTTTCTCTTGCAACTTCTCATCTGCTGGATGCTGGATTGCCTTCAAAATACAAAGAATAAAAACAGATTTTTAAAAATTACAACAGCATCATTTTTACATTAAAATATCAGTTTTAGCAAACATAGGAAACTCTGGTACAATCTATTGTAGTAGATATGGCTATAATGAAATTAAAAAATGATACAATATATGTTTGTTAACATATTAAGCCCTGGTGCCTATTAGTACTCTGACTCTGCCCACACAAAGACAAAAACAAGAATGCAAAATAAAATTGTATTCAGATATATTTAAAGGATGTTCTGAATAAATTATTAATAACTATGAACTAAATAAATGGTATCAATTGCTTAAGCAATTTACTTTATAAGCTTGCCACTTTTTTCAAATTTTCTTGATGTTTATAGTTTTTTAAATGATTCTTAAACCTAACAAGTACCTGAAATCACTCGTTCTTATGTGATTATCTAGAAATATTTAATGTTAAAGAAAATGTGACATTACAATATGTAATAATCTTTGTTTCACATTATATATTAATATGAACATTTCAAAGGGACTTTGATACTATGCTGATGTTTATGGGAAAAATCCTTTTAGCTTCAAGCATAGATTCAATAATGATTTACATCAAGTAGTAAAAATTTGTTGATGTATTATTCAGCAAATAAGCAAACAGAAAAATTAAAATTATATTTTCTTCTCTTAAAGAAGTCTATCCAACTTTTCTTGCAAGGATGAAACAATGATTTTCTAAATGTCAATTCATTCTCATAATATAAAAAAGCTCCATTAAATGTCACCCATTTTCATAACTGAACAGAGCTATTTCCCTGTCTCTCCTTGCTTAGATTTAGAGCTGAAGACACTGGCTGCTCTTTTATGACAAACATTTTATGGTTCTCCTTGTACTTCTAATTCCTTGTCCTCTCACATCAGTTTCTCTGCTGTTAGATATGGTTTTGGTCAATACCCATTACAGCCCAATATGCAAATGGACACTTAGAGTAAATGTCAGTGGTGAGGTTATAATGGAGCATGTTTTATAACTCATTTTCAAAAATGTTAAAACTGTCATGGACACATCCCAACCTTAAGGGAAATTTCCTGTTTCCCTTTCTAGTGGTTTATTCTAGACAATAAACTTTGCTTATGTAATAGATTCTATCTTAAATTAAATTTTATTCTATTTTAGAATTATGTTTAATAAAATGTTAAACTAAAATAAATATAATCCCACATATTAGCATAGTAATAAAACATAGTAAGTTTATGTTAGTTTTGTGTCAGGCACTGTACTATGCTGTTTACATAGATTATCTAATTTTATCTTCACAATAACTTTATGAATTGCTTCCATAGTTTTGCCACTATGACTAAAGCAGCCATAAAGGCTTTTATATTTACATTTCCTCTTCAATTATAGTTGTTTGGAATATATTTTCTAAAACATAGGTACCTGGTGCAAGAGTACAAATAATTTAATTGCTGTTATCCTATACACCACCAAGCTGACTTCCAAAAAGACAACTGTTTTACAATACATGTAACTTCTCCACGGTGATGTGGTGAACTTATTAGCAAAGCTGAACATTTTTTCTATTGGCTGTGCTTTTTCATGGGTAGAATGGCTGGTTGCTCTACCATGTCTTATTAATTAATAACATTAAGTGTTAATATTGACCTATGATAGTTATCAGTTCTTTGTATATTTGGCATATATTCATTCAGCTTTTATGTATATCTTTCTTTCCTAATCTGTTTTCTACCGTTAGGAAATCTTTTCTATTTGTATCATTAAACCCACACATCAATTTCTCAATGAAAATTTCTTCAACTGCTCAAATAACTACACATTTGTCCCTCATCTTCTGCAGATTTAAATGCAGTTTTTAAAGAGTTTTCTAGCTTATTTTTTTGTATCTATGTTATTTACCTATTTCTCTTGCCTTCCTTCCTTTACCAAACAGTTTAATGATGGTACCTTTAAAATAAATAAGTCTCAAAGCATGGTAAGGTAAATCTCTTACCATTGCTTTTTATTGTTCTCTTCTATTTTGGCATTCTTCAGTGTTGTCTTGCTATATAAACTTTTTCTTTTAAACTTTAAGACATATATTTACTCTCTCAGATGACTAATCATGAAACATTATGAATGAACTATATGTGGTGACATCTTATATCTCCTCAGGAAACAGCACTATTGTGTGACTATGGCATCCTACACAGAACTCCAATCTTTGGTCATAGCATTAAAAGCTCCTGGTTTCACATCCCCACAATCCCTCTTTGAAACGTGCTATGTATAAAATTTCGTATCATTGTACTCTCTTCTAGAAGATTACAACTGAATCTTAATAAGCATTCAATTAAGTCTATATACAGACTTTGGGAGAGACACTATTTTTTATTGTAGGGAGCCTTCCCACACACAGAAGCAAAGAATAACCCTTCCAGTGGGAATTACTGCAAAACACTATTTAGAATTCTACCTTAAGGGAAAAAAATAGGTAATGAATGGTATTTGTCTCTATAGTGAATAAAATACTTCTCTTTATTGTTTATGGGAGACGATTATAACCAGAGGATAAAAATTCAAATACAAGACAAACTTCAATTGCTCAAACAACTACACATTTGTCCCTCATCTTCTGTAGATTTAAATGCAGTTTTTAAAGAGTTTTCTAGCTTATTTTTTTGTAAAATAAGCTGGGTGTGGCGGTACACAACTGTAGTCCCAGGTACTCAGGAAGCTGAGGCAGAAGGAAGGCACTCCAGCCTGGGCTACAGAGCAAGACAAAAAAAAGGTCTAATGACCCAACTAATACAAATAATTAAAAGTAATCTGGAGCACTAATAATCAATATGGAGACACTTTCAAACATTTCAGAATAATTGGTGTGACTTATAGGGAAAGAACAACTTGCTAATTATAGTTCATTGAGATCCTGCTTACTTCATTTAAATCTTTCACTTCCATAAATGTTTAATTTTTCAAAATATGTTTAAATGTTCAGAGAACGAGAACTTCACAGAAATGGTTACATGCTTTCATTTACTAAAATCTTAAGGTTTTACTTAAGCTGACATGGGTCATGATTAGTCTAAAATGCTTGTATTTATTTCTTCAATAGTTAACTGCTTGCTAAGCACTGTACCAGATACTGATAATACCAAAGTATGTAAAAAACCAGGCTTACCCTTCTCAAGCCTCAAGCTGGCAGTAAAGTGGTTGGAGAGATGAATAAATAGTATCAATTTTTTTTTAATGATGCTTACCATAAAAAGAAATGTGCATAAAGTACCAGGGCAAAAGAGTAAGAAGTAGGAGATTATCTGGATCTGAAGGAGGGTAGGGGGAAAAAAAAGGGTATTACAGACAAAAACAAAGACAAGGAAGTGTATCTGTGCAAGACATGCAGGGAATAAGCTGTCCAGTGCAGGAAAGGTAAGAAATAGAATTCACACTATCTATAATTTCCCTCTGTTGATACCACTATCTCCTAATCTAAAATAAAAATCATAGACTCATTTAACTTGGACATGGACTGTAAGCTCAAGGACTGGTCCTCAATGACCTCTGCTCTATTTGTTACAGAGAAAAATAACAGAAGCAGAGGTGGGGGGAAATGAAGAAACACAGTGTGGACACTGCCTTCAAGAAATGTGGTAATGAGAAAAAGAGAGAGGTTCAGGTCCCAAGCTAGGGAGTTTCTTTGGTAGTATAAAACATCTACACATATGCTGAGAGGAGGAAGTTAGTAAAAGAACAAAGATTATGTCATTAAGAGAAGGGAAGGAATAATTAAAAGAGTAAAGTTCTAGAACAGGATGAAGAACAAAGTAAACAAGTTAATCTTGGAAAGAAGTAGGGACACACACTTTCTAAAAATGGGAAAAGACATGAATGGAAACCTTAATAAGTTTAGCAGTTTGGGAGAGAAAAGCTGAGGCAGATCACACCAAACATTTTCTTTGTGGTGTAAAGTCAGTGGGGGTGTGGTGTCCACATTGCAAGATGATTTCAAGTTTCTCCTGGGAAGGTCAGGGAGGAATAGAAAAAAGAGACTGGCAGAACAAAGTCACAGAAAGTTATGTTCTCTCCCCTCAAAAAGCAACATATAAATAGTTCCTCATGGATACTGCAAATTTCAGGTATGAAAGCAAACAAAAAAGTAAATAAAATTTTCTCTAATATACTTAAATTACCCATTTGTAAAACATCATTTTCTCTTTTACCCTCATATCACTGCAACACTTCTGTAATAATGCTATGTGACTGTCCTTCAAATACTTAATATGAAATAGAGAATTCTAAAGTCCAGAAAACAATAGAGATTAAAGAGGTGGGACCCAGTAAGTTTTAGCTTCCTATATGTAAATGTGATTTACCTCTCGTATTTCATGGCCAGCTCCTCTGTATGACTGTAAGTCCTCCAAGATGCCTTCTGCATCTTTTAATACTACATTCACCTGATTATAAATTTCCTTCTCAGACTCTGTAGGCTGGGCATCTAAACAGCAGGAAAGCACAAGAAAATTTACAGTGACATGAATTTTTTAAATACATGTATAACTCTAAGCAATTAACAATCCAATTTTCCAAAGATCAATACGTTTTATTCAATGTTAACTTTGCATTTCTTAGAAAAAACCAATAATTTTTCCAAAGCTCCATGTTTAAATAACTAGCCTCAAGTTTATAAAAATCACAAAGCAGCAAGGGAACACCAAACATTACTATTTAGTTTAAGTTACAAAGTATGACTTGATATTTTAAACCAATCTGAGAATTATAATTAAAAATTTTTAATTATGATCATCAATCACTTTTTCTACTACATTCATCACCATCACTGACTATAAATGCATCAGTAATCATCTATTTGAATGCAATAGAAATAAAAGCCTACTAAAATATCTTGTTCATCTGTAGTTTAAGACTGAAACTACTTTATTTTCCTGCAAAGCTTAACTTTTAGACTAAGTTATGATACAAAAAAGTAAAAATTTTAAAAGAAGAGTTTTCAATACTCCCCTTTTCTAGGGATCACTTTAAATTTTGTATTAACATTTATGATAATATAGGTTAAATAGGGAGGATATATACAACTAAGAGCAAACCCAAGGCAGTACCATAGAACTTTTCCACTGATGAACACAAGAGCAGGATTCCTGAGCAGAGGAGTTCAAATTACAAAACTGCTCCAGAATTAGCTGCTGAAAACTAGATACTTTAAGCTACGCTACAATATTATTACTGAAATTTTGAAATGACAAAGCAAAAACTTGAGTCTCTACACACTTGGGAGTAAGGGAAAAATGAAAGGAGAATTAGTTATAAAAAGCATAATCAGGGACACAAACATATGGGCATTTTCACCACCTGTGGTGTTAGCCACAAAACATATGTTAATGGATGACTAAATCTAGATTTCTCTCTGCTTGATTCAAATTAACAGAAATCTTGCTTTTAATAATAACTTGGTCATTTGTTTCTCTGAGGACAAATCTTTTTTATTTAATATATCTGGTGTTTTTCTCATTAAAAGGGGGAGCTCTATGAGGAAACTGAGTTCATAAATCTTTCCAACTATACCACATTTAACACTACAGATAAGGCATAAAGCACTTAAAATGATAAACATGATTACTATAATGTTGTAAAGAAGAATTTTAATGTCAGAATTCCTCCATGCTAAAATGTTCTCTTATGAGGGGAATGGAGGAAATCTAAATTTATAAGTCATTAAGCACGGTTCTGACAAATCGCTGTTTACCAATTATATAAAACTAATATCTACACTTTTCTGCATCCACTTCGCCTCCCCACAAATACACAATGATCTCTTTATTCTTTTACTTAGAAAATGTAAACAAAACTTAGTTCACACATGAACCTACGTGTAAAGATGCCTAAAAACTATTTTGTGCTTGGGGCACGTCATAATTCAGTTCTATCTATTAAACCTGCCAATTTGTAAAAAATATACAACATATTTTTTAAAAATCAACAATTACAGTACCAAATGTTAAATTCAACATATGCAAAACAGTACTATAGCAACAGTAATAAAGTAACATTGATATGCAAAGCCAACTAAAGAATCTGTTCATATAGATGTTCCCTTATTTTTCAATTTTCAGAAATCATATATTATTTTGTTAGAATGAAAATACCTTGACAAAATAATTACACAAGAAAAGCCAATTGGAAAATTAAAAAGACTGTCTGTCCAAGGCTACAAAGGTATTACCAGGAACAAATAGTGATATTGTAGCTAAATGATTAGCTTAAAAAAAAAAAAATCAGGCTTCATAATTTAGAAGTATGTTTTCACATTTAGCCAGACCATATTTTCCAATGTAATAGACATACACTTTAAAAAAAAAAAAATCACACCTCATAACTTTTATACTTACACCAGATGCACTAGAGAAAAATAATTTTTACATGCAAAAATGACAGTTTTATACTTTTTCATATGGAATTGTGAAACTACAAACATAACATCAATAGTAGACACATAATATAGTTTGAATTCATGAAGTGGGAATTCATGACAAAGGACAATATTTTAGCTGTCTATTATATATCAACAGTATTTATGAAGTTCAAAAATATTAAACTATGTATTTTTGGTGTGGTGACGAGCTGTTAACATAAAAATGTGACACTGAGACTTACATACAAACAAAACATTATAAAGTAGACTTAAATAGACCTTGTAAGTGGTTAATAACTAGTAAAAGTTTAATAAGTACCAAGAAATTTAAAAATAAAGGAGAAGATTCAAGTTTCCCTTAAGGGTGGGAAAAATACCCAGGCACCACACTGATTAAACATTTTTTAGACTGTCACAGGAAAGTCACATTTATAATTTTGAAAGCTGCTGAAGACTGCTGTAGAAATGAAGACAAACAGAAAATAGCAGACAGGTAAGCACTAATTTACTGAAGCATGTCATGCAAAAGGGTAAAATACTATGGAGGGAAAAAGACTGTATAAAATAAAGCATTTATTTTTTAAAAAATGGTATTATATAATGCAACCAAGACTTGTCACTTTGATTTTTCATAGCCAAGAATGACTTTACTTTTCAACAAAAAAATGTAGCACTTAGACAGCTAACAAAAAGACATTTATTTGATTGCAAAATAATGTATATACTACTGAGTAGACAGACTGATTATTCATGAAGCTTACTTTTAAAAGCTATTCAAGGGAAATTAAGGCATGTTTCAATTGTTCTTACTGTTTAAAGGTAAAATCAAGTATATAAATAACTTCACACCAGTTTCCTATAGGGTGGAGGGGGGGTAGAAGTGGAGTCACTAAAAATAACAGTTAAAATTTAAGTTGTTAAGATACAAAAGGAGGCAAAGATCAGCTATGAAAGGAAAAAAATAAAAAGCTAGTCAACATAAAAATTATAATTGTGATAAGGGGTTTTTCTGCTTTAATCTTACATTTATTCATTCAATAAATATTTGTAATCTATCTGTTAAGTTTCATCAAGGCAGGAGCCAAAATGTATAGTACATATCATCATTAGTATATATGTAAACTGAATATCTAGTTTTTATAATAAATATTTTTTGAATGAATAAGAAGGTACAGAGATATAAATAAGCCTCTACCATGAATTGAAGGGAACTACTATGAATTTTGATCTCTAAACAGAATCCTACACCATGTTAGAAAAATAAATATAAAAAAGATGCTACCAGAATAAAGATATTTCAAAGTACAGGACAAAATAAATTAAAAATACACAAGAGATAAATGAAAAAATATAGTGGGTCCCAATATTTCTAAATGATGGGACAAACAGGTAACACAAAAGACACAAGAAATAAAGGAAGTGTATGACTCGATAGAAAGGCATTGTAACAAAGAATCAGAGAAAATAGATTCTATTCTCACTTACAAATGACTACCTCTATTCTATTTTTATCTACCTGCAGATAAATAAATCATGTTAAAAAATGTGTACTGAACTTCTTCCATTTAAAAAGAATTAAGCTAAGGTTGGGAAAAGACATAAAAATAAATAGAAGTCCTTCCTCTCCCAAGGACTAGAATTTAATGAGCTAGTAGGCATAGTAGTTACTCAGGCTAAAGATCTGTCATTAGAATGAGCTATAAATTAACAACATTGTTATAAAATAGTAAGAAATTCCAGGAATTAGAAGAGGCTATACAGGTTCCCCCACCCCACCATTCAGTGCTCTTTCTATGCCGTCATTAGCATAAGTGCTGCCAAATTCTATGGAACAATTCTGGGCTTATATCATAATTGAACCATTATTAAATAAAATCAAAATAAAATCTTACCATATAGGAGTAATTTTTTTAAGGAAAAAAAAATCCCTCTATCTAGAGTAAAAATAATGTTTCCCTGAACACAGACTGATAACACTTCATGCCTTATGGCCTTTATCTATGTTGCTCCTCCTTTCTACATTGTCCTTCACTAAACTAGCTTGAAACATTCTAATTCACCCTCCAAAACCCAATTCGAACATCACCACCAGAAAGTCTTCCATGATGAGGCCCAACTATTTATTGCTAGATTAATACTTTCCTATGCTATACTCTGAATGTAAATAAAACTATGAGTTTGTCTTTTTTTTTTTTAAATAGAGACAGGGTTTTGCTCTGTTGATTAAGCTGGACCCTCAAACTCCTGGACTCAAGCAATCCTCCTGCACTGGCCTCCAAAAGTACAAGTGCTGAGATTACAGGCATGAGCTACCATGCCCAGTGAGTTTGTATTTCTATCTATCCTACTAGATTAAGAGCTCCTTGAAGGTAGAGGTTGTATTTTAGTTATCTCTGTATCTTCAGCACTCACTGGCTGGTATATAGGAGGCAAGCCATAAATTTATGTTGCACTGAAGTGAAAAGCAGTTACAGGGATAAGGAGGTAAGTTACAGGAGTAATGGTTAATGTTAAAGACAGTCTTCATTTTGTAAAGATTCCATTAAATCCCATGTCAAATGCACTAAAATAATTTGTCTACAATATGACGCAAAAAAACGGGTAAATCTGTGTGAAATTATTTCTATAGTTGCCCACTATGGAGACACAGTAGACTAGACTTAACCAATTAGAATGATGAAAATAGTATATTACTCTGGTGACCTGGACACTGCTGTGCATCTAGAAATAAACAATCTAATCCTAATTATACTATTTCATTAAAAGAATGTGGCTTTATTAAGTAGTCACTAGGAAGTGATAAATCAACTATGTTGGCAATTCTGAGAGTCTGGTATAAAATAATGTAAGGAAGGACACATGTGATTAGCCACTACATTAGCCTAATTTAAGTCAAACTTTTACAAATGCATATTTCCAAAAAAAGGAAAAATATGCAAACAGATGAGACAGAAAATTAAGAAAATGCCAATGTTAGAATCAAAAGAAAACATTTTAAAATCTAAGAAATAACAATGGGCAAACTCTAGCCTGGTATACAGTATATCTTCACTAAATTTCATTTATAG